ACACTTCCCAAAGGGAATGTCTGGGGGAAACACTTCCCAAAGGGAATGTCTGGGGGAGACACTTCCCAAAGGGAATGTCTGGGGGAGACACTTCCCAAAGGGAATGTCTGGAGATGGGGCTGAGCTCCTGCACCACGGACACGGAGCTGTGGGTTGGACACGGAGCTCGGGGTCGGGCCAGGAACAGGATTCTGGGAGCTGGAATCTGGGAGCTGGAATCCCACTGAGCTGGAATCCCACTGAGCTGGGAGTCAGCTCCCAGCTTCCCAGGGATCCCTGTGCACTCACCTTCCAGCTCCCTGCCGGGGCTCTGGGCAGGGACAGGAGCATCCCAAAGTGCTACTAGAGACGGAGCTGGAAAAGTGGGAAAAGCTGCTGCCTGGAAAAACCATCACTTGCCTGATTTTTGTAAAACTCTGAGGCAACTGAGGAGAGGGGAAGTGACAGAAACTATGGAAGAATTTTGCTGATTTTGTCGGAATTCAGAGGAGTTTCCACTATCAGGGGGAAAATGCTAATAAAGCAATTAAAAATCTATTAAAATGTGATTTTTTTTCCCCCCCTCTTAAATACTTTTCATGGTGCTGCTGCCCCTCACTTTTGGAGGATCCAGCCTGGAAACAACCCCTGCCACAACCACAGGGGTTCCAACTCCAGGATTCAGGGAATGGAGCTGGTTCTTTGTCACCCCTGGGGATCCCCCCCCTCAGCAGAGGATTAAAATCCAAGTGGGTTTTGTTGAAGGACAAAGCCAGGAGCAGAATTTCCCAGCCCTTCCTGCCAGGTGTGGATTTCTCCAGGCACACTGATATTAATTAATCATTAAAAGCTATTTATTTGGGACTCTCCAAAATAAAACCTTCTGCTTAAAGGGGGCCACGGCTTTGACTGCAACTTTTATTTACTGGGGGATTTTGATATTAAATATTCAATTTAAATATTCAATTTAACTATTAAACAATGGGCTGCAATCAAACTCTCCCCCCCCCCTCCCCAATTAATGTCTGATGTTTATTAAAGGAGGGATCCTGAGCTGGTTCATTGATTTTAAGGTGGCCAAATTTGCATATTTAAATAGCCCCTCACAACCCCAGCACCACAGGCTGGGCACGGGACAACAGGGGCAAAATTCCTTGGGATTCCTGGATT